TTTAAATAGAATAGTTCCCTCTGCTTCAATAATGCTCTATAGTCATTGTAATTCAGAGCATTCTGCCAAGTGGCCTTGTGTTTCAGTTTCTGCTTTTCAACATATCTTGCATTTGTCATCTGGGTGCAGGTCTGCTCTTCTTTGGTGTAAAGTTTGCATTGTTGGAAGGAGGTTGTTTAAGCACTTGATTTTGAAAACCTATTTCTTGTTTACTTCGGAGCTTCTGCAGTTGCTGCTTTTAAACTGATCTATATTGCTCCAAACCTCTTTCCAATTGATTGCATTTGTATCTTGCTCTGTTTCTACCTACTTGTTAATACTCTTTAGGTTTTTTTCATTCAGTGTCAATAATGACTGCCGTCAGTTGTGAAATGAAGCCTCTTGTTGCATCATCTACTTTTAAGCTTTTCCACTTGAGTTCGGATATTGCTCGTTTGTTCCATGGCCACTTCGGTTATATGGGAGCAGAGTGCAATGCATCTTCTTTTGCGAGAATATCTGCTTCATCGTTTTCTTTAATTCCACTATGTGCTTTAACCTTTCCAAGTCTAATTTTCAGCTTTTTTAACTTGACTATGTGCTGTATTTGCCCCAAAAGGCACTGGTTTTTCTTTTTGACAACATCATGTGTCTTTTTTGGGCATAGACTTGCTTGAATTGCCTGTATTGCGGCTGCACTATCAGTTAGTATCTCGACTGCTGCCTTGTATAGAGCTGCTAGAAAAGCTGTCCATATTGCGCCTAGCTCAGCTCTTGTAGATGATAGCCAGTCCTTGATCGCACCCTGAAATCTGGCTATTATATTCTTATGTGATTTGGATCGGCATGCTGAAATGGCAACCCACCCCAGACCCATTTTCCTTTTCTCTGGTTCTTCCACTGGGTTTAGCAATGAGCCATCTGTATAGAATGTAATATGCCTTCTTTCTCTTAATTAAGATGCCACTTCTCTAATTTCGTTTATAGCTTGTGTATCTTCAAGAGCCTGATTTATAATCTCTTCTTCTAGTGGGTAAATAGGTATGTTCTCTACTGAATATTCTCATATGCCTCTTGTTGTACTTAGGCTTTCTTTAAGTCGCTGTGATGTATCTATGATACTACTAAGTGGAGTGACTAATTCCCATATCTGGTTTTGAGTAGATACCTTTCGTACTATCTTTGGGAAATTCTCTGCATCTTGTTTTTCTTTAACTTTCTTATACAAGATACTTCATCTCCTGAGCAATTCATTGAACTGAAATTGCAACCTTTACATTTAACCAGTTTGACTGTTATTTCCTGAGTATCTTCTCTATATTCCCAGTGTTCTACTAAGATGGTTTTCTTCCCTATTTTTTTTGTGATTTTTCCTACTACTATCTTGTTCTTGGCCTTGAGGAGTACCCATTTTTTTTTTCTTTTATCATTACTTATTGGTGATAACTCTATTTTAGGGAACAGACAATTGGGTGTTTTGGTTCTAAACTCCACTTTGATTTCTCTGTTAACTGGGTTTTCAATTATCATTTCCTCAAGCTTTTTGATTTATACCAGAGTCTTTCCCCTCACTTTTTGCCTCTTGCATTTTTTGATCTGGCCCCAAGTGAGCATTTTCTTTCCTGTACTATCTAGAATCTGCTCTACCACCAGGATACCAGTTTTTTTTTTTTGTAAAAAACCTTTGATTAATTTCTCATCCAGAAAGTTTATGATTTCTGATTTAGCTTCTATAAGCTTTAGACTTTCTTCTTTTTCTCTGGATCTTATACTTATATTTATGTTTTTTGCTTCACTCAGAATTTTATACGCAAGGTTATGTTTGAGCTTAACCTTTTTAAGTCTTGCTGCATCTAGGCTCATTATGCACTGAGTGCTTTTACAATCTATCTGAGCTTGTTGAATTCTAATCCACATAGCTTTACCAATTTCAATGTTTTTATTTATACATTTTCTTAATTCTGTAATATGATGGGCTATCTGGTTCTGCCAGATTGTTTTAAGGCCAATTATATTTTTATGCACCAGGATTGCATTTGCCGTAGTGCTAGCTAAGCCAGATTTATTTTTAATTGGCTTTAGGATAGGGTTTTGGAGTTTGTCACATTGCTCTCTTGAGATGATACAATGTTGTAAGCAGTACTCCAACCTTAGAATAAGTACTCTATTGTTGATATAAACGAGTTGTGCTAATGAGGTGTTCTTCTTATAGATTGCTGTGCTAATTGCTTGTATTTCTTTCTTTGCAATGCTTTTAATATGTGATTGACTAAGTCTTTTGGATAGCCAAATATTGAGAAATCTCATTAGCTCGCTTGTCTTCTTTTCGAATACTTTTGCTTTCAGCATGCCAAATTCTATAAATCTGGGCTTCTTTATTTTTTCCCTATCTATTATTAGCAGCTCTGATTTTTTGCTATTGATTTTGATATCATTTATTTTATATAACTTTTGCGCTATACTAATCGTTTCTTCTAGTTCTCTTCTACTAGATGCTACGAAGGTTGTGTCATCAGCATACGCAATTACAGGAATTCTTATACTTTGTTGCCGTGTGCGATTTCTACTCAAATCACTTGGCCAGTTCACCTCGAGTTCATAACTCCGCTTGTTGTTCTCTTGAATCTCTGCCAGTAGAGGGTCATAAAATATCCTCCATACAAGGGGAAAATCACTTCTCCTTGATCAATCCCATCTCAAGCTACAAATCTTTGGGTGGATCCCAGATTTGTTAGAACCTCCATTTCAAGATTATCAAAGAGGTTTATGATAAAACGTGTAAGTTGCTTTGGAATCTTGATTCTTTGTAGTGTGATTGTGAGCATTTTTAGCCTCACAGAGTCAAATGCCTTCTTCATGTTCTGAAATAAGAACCATATTTCTTTTTTCTTTTCCTTTGCTTCCTCAACTAAGCAGTTAATAAGATGTACTGGTGCTGCTATACCCTCTCCTAGGAGGCCCGCGAAATTCCTGCCTTTTAGAATTTCTTTTTCGCTGAGAATTTTTGCTAGCCTATTTGTGATCACTCTTACTACCATTTTTCGAAATGATTCTAACAATAAGATTGGTTGCACATTGTTTATATTATAATACCAATCTTCTGTCTTGGGTATTGAGTACAAGATATCTAGCTTCCACTTTTTTGGCATAGTACTTTCTTCTATACACCTGGAGGCAAAATTGAGAAAGAACCTTCTTGTCATGGAGCTTGCGTTTCTTATTAGTAGATATGTAATACCTGTTCTTCTTGGGGCTGACTTGGATTTGACCTGTTCAAAAGCCTGCTTCTATTCGGCTGGACTGATCTTATTTGTGGTATCCTTATACCAAGACTCATCGATATCTTCTCAAGGAGCATATTGGTTTTTCTATCTTGCTAGCATAGCCTCTATCTGTACTATATTTTTTGTACAAAATTGCTTTTCGAAATGTTCTTTGACCTTCTTTAATACATTTTCTGGCTCATAAATTAATTTTGCCTCTTTTTCTGTCTTCTTAACCACTCTGTCAATTTTGATTTTCCTGTGAGGTCAGTCTAGAAGGCTATTGAGCATTTTCTGTTGATTGGTGATGATTATACTGTGCCTCTTTTCTATACTTTCTCTAATTTCTGCTTCTTCAATACTTTTGATTTTTTTATGCCACTCCTTGTGCAGTATTTTTGCCCAGTTTTTTAGGCCCTCTAAGCTTAGTACGTCTGTTTCATCTTCTATGTCATTAACCAGAGCCTTAACCTTTTCTAATACGCTAAGTATATTGTTTTTGACTGTGTCTTGTAGTGGTTCTTTTAACACTTTACGGTAGCTTTTATTACATGCTTTAACTGCCAGTCTTAGTACTTGTACTTCATTGCTTTCTTTGCTAATTTTAAGGATTTCTGGTGATTTTTCTCTTTTCGGAAGACTTGTATTTGCTACTGTTCTGATGCATTCTTCAATTATATCTCATTTCTCATCTATGTTTTTAGATTTGCACTTGTTACAGCGGTCTTTTATCTTCTTTTCGAGGCTCTCTCTATATTAGATCCAATCCTCTTTAGAGGCCTTACTTAAATCTAAATTGACTTTTTTTTTGTTTTCACATCTTCTCTTAGCTGCTTCTGTTTTTCTTATTTCAAGTTTAGTAGCAATACTTGCTTTTATCAATTTGTGATCACTCATAGTGCAGAGATCCATGTTATCGACCTTGGTATTAATTATACTGCTTTTCCATCTATCTGATATCCATATATAGTCAATTCTAGTTTTTGCCTTTTTGTTTGACCAGGTTGGAGTATGAGCTAGATCTTGCACGTCGTACATATTCTTTTCTTTTAAAAGCACTACAATTTGTTGTTTTATCTTGGCCTTGGAACTTGTACTTTCCACTTCGCTATTTGCTAGGTCTGGTGTAATAACATTAAGATCTCCCAGGATTATAAAATGCTACAGCTTTCTGCTGGGTTTTTCTAAAGTATCTCTAAGCATATGCAAAATCTCTTCTTGTCTTGTTTTATTATTTGGAGCAACGTACAGAAATATTATAATTATTACCAGGCCTTTAAAGTCCAAACTAAGCTTTAAAAAATATGGGTTGTCCCGTGACATATGCATAATGTGTTGTTCCCAGTGTTTCTTGATCAGCACCCCCAGGCCTAATCCTTTTTTCTTACGCTCTTCTGAGCTTGCCCAAAAACTTTTATATACCTTTGTATCTTTTATTGCAAAAGTGCCTTCTATATTATTGATATTGGTTTCTCCTAAACCCAAAATATCTATTTTATTGCCCTTAACTTGTTTTTGTTATTCTTTATCTCATTAATATTATGAAGCCCAATATTTAATACCCCAAATTGTTCATATGTTGCAACTTTTTTCCTATTTATTTTAAAGAGCCTTCTCTTTGGACCTTCTTCTAGTGGCTCTCTTTCTTTATTCTTTCAGAGTCCAGAGTGATTATTTAATGTGCCTTTGGTGCTCTTAGAAGCAATAAGCTAAGGTTCCTCCTGCCGAAGACTCCTTTTGATTTTCAAGCTTATCAAGTCAATCTAAAATTTTTGACAACATATTGTGAATTGAGTTGTTGTTTTCAGGATCTGGGTTATCTGTATATTTTGTTTTCTTTTGACTTTTGGGCAGCCAGTTTTCTTTTCTGTGATCTTTCTTTACTGAATCACTATTGTGCTCTGCTATTTTTATTGTATTTCCACCAATTCTTTGTATAAGAGACTTATTAACTTTGGGTTTTCTTTCTTCTTCGTCTAATAAGCCTAAGACTTCTCTTTTCTTTTTAACTTCTGTGATGCTAGACCCTTCTATTTCTTCTCTTTCTTTTTTCTTTTTGTGTCTGGTAGATCTTGCCATTTGGTTTCATACTTCAAAATTGTATTTAATTTTTAAACTTAATTAGCTTAACAAATTTCAATTAAAATGGTTCTAATTTTTTTATATAATATAAAGTAAGTTATAAGTTTTTTTTTTTTTTTTTTTTTTTGATGATCATGCCACATGCTCTCCTTTTATTGATCATATATAGCAATCTAAAGAATTTTTATATTACATCTTATTACTGGAATGTGACTTACCCGGTTACCTATATAGAGTATCTAAATACTCATACACCTGTGTGCGACCTGCTAAAGTTGATTTAATCTCCCTAGTTTAGTTCAACCTATATCAAGCTGACCCGCCCTGGTTCACTGACCTGGTTCACCAGCCCGTCATAATCGCCTTCTTTCCCAACCTTCTTCTTCTAGCCTCCTAGATAGAAGAATTCTACCGCAAGAACAACGGGGAATTTAAGAAAATAAAATGAAATATAAAAAAGAGGAGAAATCTAAACTAAACAAAACAAAAAAAAACATACACAAAAGAAAAAATAGAGAAAAGGAGAAAAAGGCCACAAAGAAGACGACTATGACGACACTATTTTTGCCTGTGCCAGACTACAAAAATTATATAATGTTGTATAGAAAAAAAAATCTAACCTAACACAATATGTATTACAAGAAGTGGAAAAGAAAAGAAAAAAACATCTAACTGTAAGAAATTTCTACACATAATCCCTCCGATTCCCTATACTGTAAACAGTACCGCCGTCATTGTTTATTTGGAAAAGCAGAATCCAAATAAGCTCATGGGAGATTCCATTTCGGTAGACGTGTCCTAATTTGGAAGGAGTAAACACTGCTAATCTTTTGGAAGGGATATGCCAGTTTTCCTACTTTTTAGCTGAAATTTCTAAAAAAAATCCAAAACCGCAGAAATATGGAAAAGGGTATTGGTAACATGTACTTTCAAAATTTCTAAGGAGAGTGTTGGAAGTCCAGAACTTTTGTTGTTTCCCCTGTGTTCTTCTTTGAAGTAATAGCTTTAGTGCTTCGTCGACAAAGTAGAAGCCTACTTTAAGACTTTCTCTCTTCACCAAGATTTTTTATACAAGGGCACTGCCTGCCAGTTATCTTGTATAATAACGCTCTTGGCTTGCATACCGAACGTTCTTTTAGAGGAGTCCCTCACAAAATAGTTGATCTCTAGACAAACCACAACATAAGGCCATGTCTCTCCAACAAAAGTTGTGTTTTTCCGTTAGCTGAAATTTTGGTACAAGTAATCGTTGGGGAGAGTTGCTTTATAATTTTGTTTTGTGAACTTGTTATGCTAGTAAGTTATAAGTTATCTTTTTATATAATTTTTATTATTATAATATAATTTTATTTTAGCAATTTATTACATTAAATTTCTTAAATTAAATAAAAAAAAATGTTTTTCTAGAAAAAAAATCTAATTTAAGCATTTTTGAAAAAAGTATTAAGTTTTAGAAGTTTGTACATATAATAAATATATGGTTGGGGTGTGGCGGCTTAGTGAAGTGGTCAAGTCGTCACCCTCTCCAAGTAGCAGGTCTAGGGTTCAAATCCCACGGACGA